TTGTTTTTTACGGCTTATCAACCCTTTATGGGTTCTTTAAATCCGAAACATATTTTGGATTGTATGAAAAATTCTTTCTTTATTTTTTTGGAAGTGAATATTGCATTAACATTTTTTGAAGATAACACTAATTTTTCCAGATACAAGACTTACTATTTAACCCATAACCAGGAGAGGATATAGATTCCAGGTGTATTTACGCGTAAGTGAATGTAATGAACACGACTGGAATTCGAACTCGGCTCTCCGATTTCTCATTCCGAGCCGTTATCCAGAACACTACACACACTGTTCAAACTAATGCGGGGGTCCCCAGGGCTCTATCCTTAGACTTACGCTGTTTCTGATCTTCATCAACTTCCTTCCCGATGTCATCAGTTCCTAATTAGGTATTTATGCAGATGACACAAGTATTTACTCCTGCCTTAATAGCAAATCCGACAGATCTGACAAAGAAAATCTGTCAACTGCTCTCGAAAAGAACCTCCAATCATTACTTAACTGGGACAAGGAATGGCTTGTAAATTTTAATGCCTCTAAAACGAAACTGCTACAAGCTACAGGCAGTGTAAAATCAACAACAAAAACAGTTAACAACATTATTTCACTTTCGTTTAAACATGTCAAATATTTACATCAATTAGAGTCTTCCACGTTTTTTTTCACTCCCCTTTCCTTAACACCGAGTGATTATCGAATATTTTTTGTTAATTTTTTTCTGTGTGTATAAATGCAGGTTCCTTAATGAAATTTCTACATTTGATTTGATAAAATACCTCATGGAACGAAACCCGCTGACAAAAAAAAAAATTTTCCTCTTTTCTTTCTATCATTCATATATATATATATATATATATATATATATATATATATATATATATATATATATATATATGTGTGTGTGTGTGTGTGTGTGGAGGTCTTTTAGTTAGTTGTTTACTCGGTTGTTTACCTTTTTTCCTTCGAGATTGATTTGATTATTGGCAAATCAAAAATTCGAAGGTTTTTCGAGACGATATATATATATATATATACACTTTAAACGTTATCATTGATAGATACTCCTATTTGAGTAGGAGCTCTGTTTATATATTAAACAGTATATTTCTTTTTATTCACCTACCGTTAGAGAATTAGAGAAAAATCGGTAGTAATCGAACCTGCATCACTCAGATTAGAGGAGTCACCGTTTAGTCCAGTGTGCCCTACAGCTTAGCTGACGGCCAGGCGAAATTTCTCTTGTCATGTGTGTGTGTGTGTGTGTGTGTGTGTGTGTGTGTGTGTGTGTGTGTGTGTGTGTGTGTTCAAGCGATCTTCAGACGACGTAAGCGTTCAAGTCGTCTGAAGATAACATTAGCCGCATTACTCGGGTTATGACGGTGGCTATCCTCTCATAGGAATTAACGCTATCAAAGGTTTTTGCTCTGTCTAGGTCATCTAGGCGTTGGACGCTTTACTGTGTAGGTTGTTTTTTTTCGTTTAGGTCTTTTCTTTTTTTTTCCCATCCTTTTGAGATTTTATATTGTATTTAGGTCTTTTGGCAAGTTGTTCCTTCCTTCTACCAACGATTTTGGTTTTATCTTTATTTTTGTTTTTCCTCATATATATATATATATATATATATATATATATATATATATATATATATATATAGCGCACAGTGAGTAATAAAACAGTGCTCGACGTATAACAGACCTAAAAGTTATACTAATAATAAATATATATTTTTCCTGACGATATGCAAGTTTGAATAAAGACCAACAAGTTTTTTAAATAAATTTTATCTGGTTGGAACCATTTTCATGGTTTTTCTGCTAGAATTTGAACAGAGATTGCCTAATGACTTTTGGTTGCTAATGACTTTCTTAATCCGGTCATCAAGGTTTGTGTCTACACGAGTGAATTCTTTAATGGTTTTTCGAGCGCCCCCTCTTCTTCAGGCGTTGTGGGTGTCAAGTTGAAGGTGTAAAGAACTTGATCAAATGCCACAAACAAAACTCACCATGAACGAAGACGTTAAAAAATACGGTCAAAACGATGACATTAAAATGAAACTAAAATAACACTTACCTCATACTAAACAAAATAAACTTCCAATCTAAACTTGCAATCATCTTAAATTATAAAGCATTAAAAATTACACAGAAATCTCACTGAAATTCCTAAAAACATAAATAAAATTATTACTGCTAATATTGTAGAAATAAGATCTTTGAAAATCGAAAAGGATCAATGGCGAATACAACCAGATATTTTTAATTTTTCCATAGATATTTATAATATTAGAGCGACTATCAAATCTCTGTTGCAGATTCCAGCTTAGGCACATTTTGTGTTTTTTCAAGTAGATAAAGAATTCTGTCGACAGGGCACGTTCGCTTCTTTGGTCCTCTGTTGACTTTTGAACTCTCTCTCACACACACACACACACGTGTCTACTACACACGTTTGTCACACACACACACACACACACACACACACACACACACACACACACACACACACACACACACACACACACACACAAGCTCTTATAACTAATGTTAATGAATTTTCCTTTCATGACAATTGTGTACACATGTAATTCCTTTTGTTAATAACATACATAGTCATTTATTTTAAACTCTTTGTGGTTCTTAGTTTTACCCGGACTCACAGGAGTCCACCAATATTGTTTGCGGGATAAATGTTCCAGTAGCCCATAAATATTTCATATAAAATATCTATACACATCACAACCAAAGAGGTGATACCCGCAACATTATGGTGACTTATTTCTATCCAATCGAACATCAATAAAATTTCATTGAATTTAAAAATAAATATACTAAATATATTTAATAATAATAACAATAATAATGAAATGACACGACATTTATGCGTGAAAACGCGATACTTAAAAGCACCATAGGCAAAACCTATCAACTCACAAAATATTCCTTGTTTTATGAAAGCTAAACGCGCTCGGATGACATTGGACGTTCCACACACACGCGCGTGCGCGCACACACACACGCATTATATATGTGTGTGTGTGTGTGTGTGTGTGTGTGTGTGCGCGAGTGTGTGTGTAAAAATTCATCTATAAATAAAAAAACAATATGAATAAAAACAAAAGGAAAAGCTTTTTTATTATCAAGGCAAATGTGAAGATTTTATTTCGTAATAATTACATTAAATGTAATAATTATTACATTTAAAAACCATTCAACAACAACAGTAAAAACGTTTGCTCAGTTTCGTGTATTTGGCATTAAATTACATCACTTCAAGTATTTCGCTTGAAGATGGAACAGAGCTTGGTACTTTAATTCAATTCAAATAACTATATCGAAGTTTTCGGCTCTTGTTTTGAAACATGAGAACTCTTATGTAGCGTTGGAATCATATTTTTAAATAAATAATTATATATATATATATATATATATATATATATATATATATATATATATATGATAGCTATATAGCAATATTACATAGATATGAAACAAGAATGTTACGAAAAAAGCTCATAGATAGACAGATGTTGAGAAAAAGAGAAAGAGAGTCAGATGAACATACGGATATATAAAAAGATAAATACGAACAAACAAATAGATAGATAGATAGATAGATAGATAGATAGATAGATAGATAGATAGAAGGTAGTGTTGTAATGTTCCAGGATCGTTCGTGCTGCGATTGTGCACTTCAACTGAAATGTGCACTCACTTAACACTCATCTCTTACTGCCAATAAGATTCATATTGGTCGTTTTTCAGTCCTTATGCGAAGTTTTTTAACGTTTGTGTTGGAACGGCTTTGCGATCTTTACAATGGCCGAGAAATTTGAGTATGGTGTCGGCGTTTTGTGAAGCTGGGAAAATTTGCGACCGAGACCCTCGAAGTGATCTCTCAAGTTTTAGTGAATATCATTTTGATCAAACACGTTTTGAGGGGCACACGCCTTTCAGGGCTGGTCGAGTGTCGGTTTAAAATGATGAGCGTTTAGAGCGACCAATCACCAGCCAAATGCCAGCAAACTGAATAAAAAATTAATGAACACATCTATGAAAACCGTCACCAAACAATCCATCAGCAATTCTACATCGCTCATGCTTTTCTGACAATTTTTATCTTGAAATGTGTTTACAGCTGATGAGCATTCAGTCTTTAAATAAATTGAACAAATTGATTCCCAATCAGGTTTACATTGCATAGGCTTCGGTGTACATTATAATACGATTAGTGGGCAGTTATCGGCGCAGTAAGGGGAATGAACGAGCTGAGTTCAAATTCCAATCAAGTTTGTTACGATCGCTTTTTCATAAATAATCCTGGGAAATATATGAATCCATCTTCTCAAGCCCCACCCCGCCACATCTATAGATTAATAAACGGAATGACTGAGCTCTCTAATCTGTTGACAATCCATCTGGGCGAAAGATCCCTTTGAATTCAGAAACGGTTTGTCATGGATCTGACAAATGCACCCTGTAAAATACTTGCTACTGAAATCATAGCAGCAACACCTAATGTAGTGATTCAGTGGCCCTATCGTTGTGAGTCTGGGGCCGTGTAGTTCGTATTAACCAACCGATTTAACTATTCTTTATAAGAAAACAGAAGTCAAGAAGGTAAAAGATGAAACTTCTGTATCTTGGGCGATTGAGGAAGGAAGTTTACTTTTCGAAAATATTTTGCCCGTTTAAAATAGCTTCGTATAATATCGCGCTTAACTCGTTTGGTTGATTCAAACTTGTTTTAACTCTAATCGGGATGCAATTTGTTTGCTTTATTTAAATATAATATATCGATATATCGACTTTCAAATGTAATGTTTTTTCGCTATTTGAATACGACTTCCGGTAGATTTATAACGGCATATTTATATACGTATCTATGTATAAGGAGATATATTTATATGTATCTATGTATAAAGAGATGCAGAAATAATATAAAGCTTTCACTGAACCATCAAAAATTTCTGGGTGGGTGATTTTCTGTCGGTAAAGTGGCTTATGCCTGGTAAGTAAGAGAGTTACTTATAACATTTGCTTTAAATATATAATTGTTTTAAAATTGACATTGAGAAATGGATGTTCAGATTCTTTCTTGGTTCTTCCTTTTTTCTTTCTTTTTTTCTCTTTTCATTCTTTTTTCTTTCTTTTTGTTTTTCTTTCTGTTTCTTTGTTTAATTTCTCTTTTCTTTCTTTTCTTTCTCTCTTTCTTATCTCTTTCCTTTCTTTCCTTTCTTCCTGTTTTTCTTTCTCTGTTTCTTTTCTCTTTTTCTTTTCTTTTCTTTCTTTCTTTTTGTTTGTTTGTTTCTTTTTTATTTCTTGCTTGTTTTTGTTTCTTTCATTTCTCCTTTCTTTCATTTCTCCTTTCTTTCTTTCTTTCTTTCTTCCACTTTGCTTTCTTTCTTTCTCTTTGCTTTCTTTTTTCATCTTCTTTCTCTATTTTCTTTGTCTTTTCTTTCTATCTCTGTTCTTTCATTCTTTCTTTCTTTTTATTTGTTTGTTTCTTTTTTATTTGTTGATTATTTTGTTTCTTTCTTTCTCATTTCTTTCATTTCTCCTTTCTTTCTTTCTTTCTTCATCTTCTTTCTCTTTTTTTGTCTTTTCTTTCTATCTGTGTTCTTTCTTTCTTTCTTTCTTTCTTTCTTTCTTTTTATTTGTTTGTTTCTTTTTTATTTGTTGATTATTTTGTTTCTTTCTTTCTCATTTCTTTCCCTTTTTTCTTTGTCTTTTCTTTCTATCTTTGTTCTTTCTTTCTTTCTTTCTTTCTTCATCTTCTTTCTCTTTTTCTTTGTCTTTTCTTTCTATCTCTGTTCTTTCTTTCTATCTTTGTTCTTTCTTTCTTTCTTTCTTTCTTTCTTTCTCTTTGCTTGTTTGTTTCTTTCTTTCTGTTTTTCTCTTTCTTTATTCTTTCCTTATTTTCTGCATCTTTCAACTTTACTTTTAAAATCTACTTCCATTGTCCCATTTTGTTTATCCCCTTTCTTTTCTTTTTACATTTTTTCATTGACATCTTTATTTTTTTCGCTCTTTTTTCTCGAATTTTCTTTTCTTTCGTTTCGTCTTTCATTTTTTCTTTACTTACTTACCTGGTTTTCTCTATGTTTCTCTTTTCTGCTTCTCTTTCAAAGACATTCTTTCTCTTCTTCACTTTTTCATTCTTTTTTATTTCATTCTTTACTTGTTTTTCTCTTTATTTTGCTTTTCTATCTGCCTCTCTTCCAAAGACGTTATTTTCTCTTTTCTTCTTCAATTTCTTTCTTTCTTTCTTTCTTTCTTTCTTTCTTTCTTTCTTTCACACCCTGTCACTTAACAATTTGCGCAGAGTTAATAATAAATAAGCAATGATTTTAGAAACACTTCACGCTTTGTGCGGAGACAATTAAAAATATATAAAAAACAAGATTGAATAAAAGCGAAAAAAGTTCTAAAGAATAAAAGTTGAAAAAAAGTAAAAAAAAAAAAGAAAAACGAGAAAACAAAAGAAACCTCAAAATGACCCAAGTTTACAAAAGGAAATAAAATGAACGGAATCTATAATTGCGTACGCTTCAGATTCAAGTATCTGTAAAAAGTAAACCCAAACAGATGTTAATTGATTCTACTGGGCAATTAAAACAATACCACGAGGTCACATGATCAAATATGGCTGACAAACATAAGAAAAAGCAACCTTAGAGGATAAAGGATAAAGACACAAAAGAAATAAAACGAAAAGTAAAAATAAAAATAAAACCCGAGCGAGAGGAGAGGAAAGAGAATTTTGATGACCGTAACGTGTATTAAAATAAAGGAAAAAACAAAGAGGGCTGGGTTGAGGTACTTGAACAGAATTATGTGATTACCTCAGCTCTAATAAGTAAAATCAAGAACATCTCAAAGCATACATATGTATATGCAACAAACACATGCCTACACCTAGTAATATACACTCACATTAATATTTTAATATAATCCCTACTTCAAGACACGTTCAGATAATTACAAAATGACACACTCCATGCTCAACACACATACACTCTCGAGAAATACAAACGCAATCTGACGCATGCGCAAATCAGGGTTTTAAGAAATAATCTTTGAGCTGTTCACTTCCCACGCCATTTTCTTTTTTGTTTTGCATAGTGTAGCGAAGGCCAAATTTCGATTTTATCCAAAGAATAAAGTTGACTGTTTTCTCTTTCTCTGCTCATTGTGAAACGTGTAACGCTCATCCTGTAAAGACGTTACTTCATTAATTTTCATACTGGCACGACTTGAGTTCAAGTCACTGAGGAGACGTAAGTGTTTCATAGCTTAGTTTTATAAAATGCCTGATATTTGTGAATATTTAATACGATATAAATTAACTACTTTTTTGTTTTTTATATGAAAAATCCGATAACATAGATTCGGCCAACTGACGAACCACATTATATTTTACTACACATCATATATTTATTCAGCCTTCTTCAGTTCAATTTTCTTAACCATTTAAATTATCGAACTGTTTGATTCATTTGTGATATGGTGTATACTAATTAATTAATAGATTAAATAATAATATGATTCTAGTATTACAGAAAGTAGATAGACATTTTGTCATTGCTTCGGAAGGTTCGTCTATCCCTCCATAATCTTTTGAACAGGAGTAGAGGTTTATCCCTCGTTTTCTGTTTAGGATTGGGTTTCTGATTCTTCTAAAGCCTACTTCAATTCTATACTTCTAATGTCATACCGTGTTAATGGTTGCAAACCATCTCTATTCCCGATGTGTTCTTTTGATAAAAAGCAACTTCCACTAGGATAGCTAGTTTCCCAGAATTGTTACTTTATGGAAGAAACTCCCGAGTTAATGCTTTCCTGACAACTACAATCTTAGTCCAGGGTCAACCTATATCTATCCTGTTGATCCTCATAATACTCTTACATCCCCTTTCCTTACAATTTCTCTCAATAACCCTTTATCTCGTGTGGCTCTTGGGCCTTGAACTAGGTGAATTATGAATAAAAAATAAAATAAAAAATAAAACCAAATGTCTTCAGTCTTGTATTTAGAAAATTATAACTATATAAATCTTACCTTTTCGTCAGAAATTGATCGGTTGAGTTTTATGACGCATTTGATCGACTTCATTAAAGTGGGTTCTCCAAGAAAATTCTGTATTACACAAATTGTACGATTGATATACGAACCTTCATTGTTGCCGTCCTTAAAGCCAAATATGTAATACCAGATATAAATGACTATATTAAAATATAATTTATTTTCTTTAAACTCTAGGCAACCCTCATTAAAGAAGAAAAAGTTCTAAATATTTTAACTGCATCGATATACACGAAAAAATATTTTTTTCTCTATTTTTTTACGACGGCAAACAAACCTGCCTCGATGAGACAGATTTAGACTTTGATATAATTATGTCTAAGTATTGACTTTTAGAATTTATTGTTGCAACTCAAGTCGAAAACAGATGAACTGAAGACTTCTCAAGTTCCATAATTTCTGCATAATTTTTGTTACCGCAAATGAGTCAAGAGTAAATTAAAGCTTTTGGAATAATTACTTGGAACTTTTACGAACTGCACCTAAAGAAAAACTTTAAAAAACATTAAATATTGAACATTTTTGTTTGTTCAAGAAAAAAAAAGACAATTTTAATAAACCTTATTTGCTAATTTGATGTTGGTCTTAAGATTTTAGTGAAAGGTAAAGTTATTTTGGGGTGTTTGAAGGAAGAATAAATTAATTTAGAGAAATAAAACATGTTTAGCTATTAAAAAAAACGTTTATGATGTTAAGAAACGTTATTATTGTTTTATCATTTCACCACAGACAAGGTAATAAAGCCAATAAGATGCAAATGGTTACTGAGTGTGAAAGAATATATATAATCGACTCTCCCGTCGAGATTCGACGTATGAGGGTAAAGCAGATCAGTTTCCAGGAAACCGACAGCCCGACACCGGCACATGAGATTTGATTATAGTGGTGAAGGTTTTGTGCAGGACCATCCACACTTTTTGAAGGGACGAATACAGAGACCTGGTGCACCGAGTGCAACAATGTTCCCAAACAACCCTCCGCAGGTTTTGAATTCAGAGTTGTCCTTCTCCTAGACCAGTTGCCATCCAAGGCTATAGAACCCAGTCTATCCTGCTATTTTACCCATGGAGGGAGAGGATTCATACCTTTCCCAAGGGTATTAGCACGTGAATGTAATGGATTCGACTGGAATTCGAACTCGACTCTGCGATTCCTCAATCCAAGCCGCTATCCATTACTCCACCGTGAAAGAATATATAAATAAATGTATATTTGGTTGGATAGATGTGGGTTTGTGACCCTGGGTTTCACGCTTTAAACCCAGGATCACAAACTCACATCTATCCAACCAAATATGTTAGCTCTATATCTGATATTGAGCACTTTCTAATAAGTGCCGCGCATATAATATATAAATAATTATACATATATATATTTATTTATATTTATATACACTTTTCACATAAATAAATACATATATATATAAACATTATTAAACATTAATATATATATTAAACATTAATATATTATATAAACATTATATATATATATATATATATATATATATATATATATATATATATATAAACATTATTAAACATATATTAAACATATATATATAAACATTAATATATATATAAACATATATATATATATATATATATATATAAAACATTATTAAACATTAATATATATATTAAACATTAATATATTATATAAACATTATATATATGTATATATATATATATATATATATATATATATATATATATATATATATATATATATATATATATATATATAAACATTATTAAGGAGAAAGAACAATAAAAGAACAGGAATTAAGAAGACAGAAGATAACGATTGACATTGCATTTAAATTTTTGAAGATCAAAGTTAACTGGGTGGTAAGAAGCCGGAAGAGAGTTTTACAAGCAAGAAGAACGATGGAAGAAACTGTTAGCATAGAACTTACAGTTAGATATTGTCATTTCAACTGTAAAATGATGATATCTTACTGTGCATCTAGTACTGCTCTTAAATTCACAGTCTGGGGGCACCATAGAGAAAAATTCATCAGTTTATCATGAATTCTGAAAGGAAAACGTATATTGGTGGGGATATATTAATTTAATAAGCGTAGCTTAGATGTGGCACAAGCCCGAAAGTATGGACCATCTAGTGAGAATCGAACTCATTATTCAGATGGGTCACAAGAAATTTGATTCTTTGGGACTGTACGATGGATGACAAGAAATCTGCACTCGTTGTGACGATAAATTTGATTTTAAAACATTTTGTTGATTTTATCAAGCGTATATGACTATTGAAAGTGGGGGGGGGCACTTTGACGTAGTGTAATGGTTAGCAAGCTTGTCTTGACAGAACAATTACTACTGAGTTCGATCCTCACTTTCGGCCTTAGGCCCTATCTAAGCTTCGCTTATTAAATAACCACAGTGTAATGGTGGACAAGCTTATCTCGCTCGATGAATAACGACTTAGTAGTGAGGTGTTTCTGCCACATCGACGCTATGATTAGTAAATCATTATATGACATTTGGAAAGCGTTAAAAGAAATTCTTATTTTAATTCTATGTACATACTAAAACACACACACACTCACATACGCACACACATACACGCACATACGCACACGTACATGTACATATATATACATACACATATTAATAGATTGATTAATAGTCATGGGTATGACGATAAACTACATCCGGTAGCAAGGCCTCTTATCAGGAGATTGAAGGGTTTGAGGAGAGTGGAAAAACCTCCAATTGCTGTTGTTCCAAGGTCTACCCTGACCCGGGGTGGTAGCATCTGTTAGGGTTCCAGCTATGGGCAATTCAGTCAGTTATGTGCCATGCGTAATGCACGCTTAAGCGATCATGTATCTTTCGACTGACGAGACAGATATTTTTCCCGCAGTAGGTTGCCATTTCTTCCTGCAGTAGACCATTTGCCATCCAAGGTTATAGAACCTGATATATCCTGCTATTTATCCATAGCTGGGAGGAGGGGGAAGAAGAGGATTCATACCTTTCCCAAGGGTATTAGTACGTAAGTGAATGTAATAGATTCGACTGGAAACCCGAAAACAAAACACTATGAAAGTATAAAAATACATTTTTATAGTAAAAATATCAGCAATACATTTTTATACAAAAACATTATCAACAATATTTATAGTAAAATTACCAACAACACAATTTTAAAGCAAAATCACAAGTAATATCTATTCTGAAAGGAAAACGTTTATTGGT